TTGTAACTTTAATTTCATTAAAAAGCTCTAAAAAAAATTAAGGTTTTTGGTAAATCATTTTGGAGACAAAACCTGACCTGAACTGATGTGACATTACTTATAGTCTATTTTTCCCACTTAGCATCAATAGAATATTCATACATTTAACTGCAGAAATGTTAATGTGTTTAATTATGGAATGGTCTCTAACACCAAGAATATCTCTAAATACTATGTTCTAAATAGGAACCACTAAAAGGAACCAATCTCCTTAGAGAAATAACTGATTCCAGGTCTGGAAAACATCATGTGCCAGAAAACAAGGAAACCATCAAAGACTAATGGATGATAACAAAAGAATACAGAAACCAACTTGAAAGGGCTCCCAATGCCCTAGGATGGAGCAATGCAGACATTAAGAATAATGTAGTTCAGTTGGCTGAGCATCTGACTTCAGCTCAGATCACCATCTTCCAGTTCGTTAATTTGAGCCTCACATCAGGCTCTCTGCTGTCAGAGTACAGCCCACTTCAGATCCTCAGTCTCCCTCCCTCCCTCCCTCCTTTCCTCCTTCCCTCCCTCTTTCTCTCTCTGCCCCTCCCCCACTCATGCTCACTCTCGCTCTCTAAAATAAAACATTAAACAAAAAAGAATATTGACTGCAACTGATTTAAATATATCAACTATATAAAAATTATCTCAACAATACAAATGGATAATTTATTACAAGGTTCAACTTGTTTTCCTAAACCTGAGAGAGTTAATCTTTCTGGAACTATGACATCTGTTTCCAGATGTTAACACGTTGCCCTCCTTTGAATTCTTTAAGTACAGTTAGCATTTACCCCTATGATAGCTTCTCTCAAATGCAGAAACAGTTGTCACTCAGATAAAAGCCTCAATACTCTTTTAGGCTGTATCTTCTGGTTGTGCACCTAAATATAGGTGTATATATGTGTACTCGTTACATATATTTTTGTCAATGTGTAAATATATACACACATATCACAGTACTGTATGTCATATATTTCCATGTTATTGTTCTCCTGTTAAATAAAAGTTCCATAGTGTATGACATTAATGACTGCTTTTATCAGATATGTAAGCTGTTCTCAGTTTTTATTACAAATGAAGCTGTGATGGAGGAACCTGTGGCTCAGTCAGTTGGGCATTCAACTTCAGCTCAGGTCACGATCTCACAGTTCAGGAGCTCAAGCCCCACATCAGGCTCGCTGCTGTCAGCGCAGAGCCTGCTTCAGAGTCTCTGTCCCCCCTCTCTCTGCCCCTCCCCTGTTTACGCTCTCTCAAAAATAAATAAAACATTTTTTAAAAATTAAAGAGGCACCTGGGTGGTTCAGTGAGGAGCCCTGCATGGGACTCTGGGCTGACAGTCCAGAGCCTGGAGCCTGCTTCGGTTTTTGTGTCTCCCTGTCTCTCTGCTTCACCCCGACTCATGCTGTCCCTCTATCTCTCAAAAATAAACAAACATTAATAAAAAAAATTTTTTAGTCAAGAAAAAAAACAAAGCTGTGATGAAATTCCTTTCACATAAATTTTTATGTCCATCTCTACTTCCTTAAAATGAATTCTTAGATGTAGTATTGATGAGTCAAAAGTATCTAAATGCTTTTAAAGATCTTGAGAAATCCCACCAAATTGTCTCTACAGAGAAGCAGTATCAATTAACACTCTAATTAACCATGTATAAGTGCATCCAATGTATCCAATCCTTGACATTAAAATTTTTTAAATCTTTGCCAATGTAACAGCAGACGGTAACAACATATATTTTGTTTTGTAGTTTTTGTTAACAAATAAAAAATCTTTTTCATGTTTCTTGGCTATTTATATTTCATTTTTTGTAAGTTGCATTTTCATTGTTTGCCATATTTTTCCATTGAAGAATGACTCTTTTGCCCACTGGATTATAAAGTCTCTTTGTACATATTTTTTATCTGTCATATGCTTGAAATATTTTTCCAAACTTATCAAATAATCTTTTTGCTCTGTTTCCGTTCTGTTTGGTAGTACAGAAATTCTTTTTCATTTTCATGAGTTAATCTAGAAAACAGGGTAGCAACTAACTAGAGATTTGAACTTTGAAGTCAAAAACTGGATTAAAACCTGGCTTAAATATTTACTAGATGTGTGACCATGGGCAAGCTACTTAATTTTGCTGAGACTTATTAGTTTCCTTATCTGTAAAATGGGGATACCACCACATACTACATAGTTGTTATAAGGATTACATTCATTCACTTCATTCATTCATTTAAAGTTTCCCATCATATCTGCCAGGCAAGAATAAACATTCATTTATAGCAGCAGTTACTATTATTACTAATAAATGACACACTTTAATTCTTGACAGCAGCTCTCAAATTTAAGTGTGCATTAAAAAAATCACCTAGGGGGCACCTGGATGGCTCAGTCGGTTGAGTGTCCAACTTTGGCTCAGGTCATGATCTCATGGCTTATAGGTTTGAGTCAGGCTGTACTGACAGCTTAGAGCCTGGAGCCTGCTTCAGATTCTGTGTCCCTCTCTCGCTCTGCCCCTCCCTCGCTCATTCTCTCTCTCTCTCTCTCTCTCTCTCTAAGAATTAAAAAAAAAAAAAAAAGAACAACTGGATTCCTAGGCTTCAGCCCCAGAGTTTTTGATTATGTAGGTCCAGGATGAGGCCCTAAAACTATTTTTTAAACAAACATTTCTAATAAACATCCTCAGGTAATTCTGATGCAAACAGTCCACGCACACTCCTAAAAAAATATTTATGGATTCTCCCTTTGATGATATACTTGGAATATCCTACCTTACTCTGGAAATAAATAAATGCTTACCTGTATTTTCTCCTATCATCTTACAAATCCTTTTAAAAGTATTTAATTCATCTAAAATATATGTTATTATATACTGGGCTAATTTTCTCAACACCATTTGTTGAATAATCACACCTTCCCCCTATGATTTAAAAAACATCTCCTCTACCACCAGGGAACTTCTATAGTTTCCACTGCTTTACCCTATGCTTTAATAACTGGTAAGGACAATTCCCTCATTACTTTTGTTTCTCAAAATTTTCTTGCTCATAATATTGCCTGTTTAATTTGCCAAACGAGTTTTCTCCGTGCTCAATGTATGTTGTCTTCCATGGCAACAGTAAATTTTACAAACAGAAAAAATTCATAGTAATTCTTCCGAAGTCTCTCTGGGATTTTGCTTAAAATTACATTAAAAATTGGAATTAGCGGAGACAAATGTCTATTTCTTCAGGTCTTTTAATATCCAGGCATATTTCCTTCATAAAGACCTCCTACACTTCTTAATAACTTTATTCTTTGGTATCTCATACTTCCATTACAGAAAAGAGAAGTGGTTTAGAGTGTGAACTTACAACTCAGATTGCTTAGGATATGATCTAAGCTGTAACCATTACTAGCTGTGTGAATGACCTTGAGCAAGTCACTTAATCTTTCCAAGCCTGTTTCTCACCATAAAATGGAGGTGACAATAATGTCTACTCAATAGGATTACTGTGAAAAGAAAATGAGATAATGTATGTAAAATGGTTTACAGGGTGACCAGCAGAACATAAATGTTCAATAAATGTTAACCACTATTACTAATAAGACCATTCTCTAATTTTATTTTTAAAAATGTTTATTTCTGAGAGAGAAAGAGAACACACGAGCGAGGGAGGGGCAGGGAGAGAGACGGAGACAGAGGAGCGAAGCAGGCTCCACGCTGAGAGGACAGAGCCCAATACAGGGCTTGAATTCATGAACCATGAGATCATGACCTGAGCCAACGTCAGACCCTTAACCAACTGAGCCACCTGGATGCCCCTCTAATTTTACTTCCTATTTACTGTTTATTTGCAAGAAAGTTGATGCTTTCTTACTTATCTGTGTCCAAATATATCCCCTGAGCTTTCTTACTAGTCCTAGTAGTTTTTCAGTTAATACCCTGAATAGAGAAAATACTAGCTGCTTACAACTTCAATTCTCCTTCTTCTTCTCCTTCTTCAAAGGAGAAATCGCAAAAGAAAATATATTAACAACAAAAAAGTTTTAAAATACTACTTCAAAATTAAAAGGCAAATGAATTGGAAAAATTTTCCAATAGAACATATACAAAGTTAATTTACGGCATTTAGATATCAGGAGAAAAAATTATTCAATAAGCTGTGCAAAAACAAAGAATTGGTTATATAGAAAATATTTAAATTAGATCAATTCAGACCATATGACAATATAAATACCAGAAAGACCAAAGATTCAAAGCTAAAAATCAAACCTTAAAAATTCTAGAAGCCATTCCTAGTAGTACTGTTTAAAACAGGGGGGGAGAAAAACTGAAAATAAGCCAAATGTCATTTTAAGTAACTGTCTTTTTTTTTTCTTATTTAATACATTTGTTTATTGCCGCCTTCCACCTCCCCTCCCCCTTTCCACCCCCCCCACACTAAAATATAAGCTCCAGAAGAGCACAGACTTTGTTTTCTTCACTAATATGTTCCAAGAGCCTACATCTCGCAAAGAGTAGCAAACAATAAATATCTGCTGAAATGACTGTCCATCAACAGAATGGATAAATGGTAGTGTATTCATGATGAAATGTTATACGGCAGCAAAAATAAACCGCAGTTACATACATCATCATGGATTAGTCTCAGAAATACAATACTGAATGGGAAAAGAAAGTTTCACAATACACAGTATAAAATGCAATCTTATAAAAAGCAACTATGTAGTGTTTAAGGGAAACTTTCCCAAAAGTATACCAAAAGTATACCAAAGTATACCCAAAAGAGGGGCACTTAGGGTTTTATCTTGAAAAATATAAAAACTACAAAAATGTATTTCATAGTTTACAAAAGTTAGTCTATTACTTTAATAAATACTTCCTAGCGATTACTTAAAAAAGAAAACAAAAAAACTTCCATATCACCTCACCTGCAAAAAAGAAAATGGAAACTCAATCACAAAATAAAATATTCAAACAGTGGTAAAGCCAAACATACCTATAAGTTCAGGTGGGTTTCTTTCATTAAACCGCTCACACAGACGAATAAATGTCTCGGTATTCTCAGTTGTAGGGCACTCACCATGTCTAGTAATATGGAAACATTTTTTTTTTTTTTTGAAAAAGAAGAAATTGAAATTTCAGCAAAAGGTTTCAATATTATACAAACTTAATACATGACTTACCCTTTACACTGAAGTTTTATATATTTGATTCCTTCTTTTTCTATGTCATTTCTGTCATAGAACCTTGAAGTGTTTGTCAGGTCCACTAACAAGCCCATTTTAACCTTAAAAGAAAAGAAAAGAAAAGAAAAAGGGCAGATTTACTAGTAACTGAATTTGTTCCAAAACCAACTGACTAAATGGCAATACTCCAGTTTCATCCATCTATATTGAGGGAGATTTTAGTTCTGCCAACGAACTACTGACAACAAATGCATCACTCACTTAAGTCTTATTCAAGGCACTAGAACTTAGCAGGCACTAAGTGAAATAAATTAACCCCCAAACTAACGATGGAACAAGAACATAAACAAAACCTACTCCATTTCAACATCATAAAAGTCTACCTAAAAAAAAAAACCAACATGGATATCATTTTCTGCATCTCCCACTCCACCTATGATTTATTAGACAAGATGATAAAACAGGAAAGGCCTCCATCTAAAAGGTACCCCACTCAAGCTGCAGGCACACATCAACCCAGCATTCCAAGCAGCTATCACAACATCACATGCTAGGCAGTTAAATGCTAAAGTGAGTACTAGATAAGGCAAAAAGTGTGTACAGTCAAAATTCTCTTGTAAATCCCTTAAATAATCAATGAAGAACAGGGCATAATTGTGCAATTCACTGAAGACTCAATCCCATCTCTCAGCAGTTTTTCTTCCTGCATTGGAACAAAAATCATTATTTCTTCTGTTCAGCACTAAGTTGGCTTATGATCAGGGGCCAACTGGTTTAAAAAATAATTAACAACTAGAATCACATTCAGACTAGTAAGATAGTCTCACTAAGAAATGCACACCTGAAGAGCGCCTAGGTGGCTTCAGCTCAGGTCATGATCTTGAGATCCGTGGGTCTGAGCCCTGCGTCGGGCTGTGCTGACAGCTCAGAGCCTGGAGCCTGCTTCTAATTCTGTGTCTCCCTCTCTCTCTGCCCATCCCCTGCTCATGCTCTGTCTCTCTCACTCTCAAAAATGAATAAATGTTTAAAAAAAAATTTTTTTTTTTTTAAAGAAACGCACACCTGAACTGAGCCAAGTAAAAGAAGAGTTAATTCATACATCTTCCACCTCATTCTGAAGTATATACTCTCTGGGAAGAATGGCAAGAGAAATAATCCATACTTCTTAAACTGTGATTTTTTTCACTTTCATTGCTATTGCTTTTATTGAGTACCTATTATTGATGTGCCTAAAGGACACAGGAATACATAATTTGACTCCATTATTAGAGAGCAAAAAAATGGCAAAAACGTTTATATTTCATATACAACAAAACTGACAAAACTGTGTTTCTAAAATATTAGCTACCATAATGTACTCCACTGATGTCTCCAGATTCCTTAGTTCAAATGCAGATGAGAGACAGGTCTACCCACCAGATGAGCTCTTACTTATAGAAGTGTATTTTTGATGGCAATTTCTACAATCTGCCCCACCTGGGCCTACTACTCTTCCCACATACCTTCTGCAGTGATCTAATTCCTTCAGAGGACATGTATTGTCAAACACAAACATTTAGAGCTTATTAATACAGCTGTTCAGGGGCGCCTGGGTGGCGCAGTCGGTTAAGCGTCCGACTTCAGCCAGGTCACGATCTCGCGGTCCGTGGGTTCGAGCCCCGCGTCGGGCTCTGGGCTGATGGCTCAGAGCCTGGAGCCTGTTTCCGATTCTGTGTCTCCCTCTCTCTCTGCCCCTCCCCCGTTCATGCTCTGTCTCTCTCTGTCCCAAAAATAAATACACGTTGAAAAAAAAAAATTAAAAAAAAAAAAAAATACAGCTGTTCAGTGAGTGAGAATTAGAACCCGTGTTGTGTGTCTACAGGTCTAAAATAACAAATGGATGAAAAGTGGTGATAAGCAAGAAAATATGAGTTTTCTAAATACACAGGAATAGTTTAGCCAGGGAAACTGAGAAACTGTACTATAGGACTTAATTGCCCAGAACCCCATATATATGTACATGTGTGTATGTGATATGTCTGTGTGGATAACATATTTGTGTGTGAATCTGTTTGCATACACATACATACATACATATATTACATATACATATTTATTTTTCATAATAATCCCAATCCATGAAGTAAGCATATTAACAGTATCTATCTCATAGAATTCTTGTGAGATTTAAATGAAGTCCTTCCTCCGTGCCAAACACTATTCTACATGCTTTCTATGCACGAATTTTATTACTTTATTTACAGATGAGGAAACTGAAAACAGGAAGAGATACGTAACGTGCCCACAAAGTTGTAAGGGGCAAACTGGAAATCAAAGCCAGGCTATGTGGCTTCTAAACTCAAACTATAATTTTCAATATGATTACTGATAATGAAAATAAAAATTAAAAGTTTACAAGCTAAAATAAAAAAACATTAACATATAAAGACTCAAGAAAACTACACCAAGAAAAGGGATAAGAGGTTTTCAAATCTAAATGGCAATTTTTCTAACTCATGATAGAAGCCTTGCACATAATGCAGGGCACCTGGGTAGCTCAGTCGGTTAACCATCTTCAGTTCAGGTCATGATCTCAGTTTCTTGAGTTCGAGCCCCACATCAGGCTCTCTGCTGTCAGCACAGCACCTGCTTTGAATCCTCTCTCTCTCTTTCTCAAATAAACATACAAAAAAAAAAAAAAAAAAAAAAAAAAAAAAAAAAGACTTGCACATAATGGGTACTAATATTTGCTGAATGTACTAGAATGGAAGAGTACAAAGATTAGTATTAAAGGCTGAATTATGTCCCCTGAAAAGATATGTCCAAGTCCTAACTCCTAGAACCTGTGAAGGTGACCTTATTTGGAAACAGGGCTATAGGATCTTTACAAATACACTCAAGTTAAGATGTGGTCATACTGGATTAGGGTGTCTTTAAAAGACAGAAATTTGGACAGACACACACAGGAAGAATGGTAACAAGAGAGACAACCCACAGAGCTCACGCTAAGGAATGCCAAGGATCACAGGCAATCACGAGAAGCTAGGAGAAAAGGACGGAAAAGATTCTCCCTCCAAGCCTCCAGAAGGAGCAAAACTTTGCAACACCTTGATTTAGAATTTCTGGTGTCCAGAACTGTGAGAGAATAAATGTTTTAAACCACCCAGTTTGTGGTAATTTGTTACAGTAGTCCTAGGAAACTAATCAGCATTATGTCCGAATAATGTAAAAATTATAATGTTTCATTTAGAAAAATAGTTTGGCACTTATTGTAAAACTAGCCATGCACTCAGCAATCATACTCTTGAGTATTTATTCCAGGAAAACAAAAACTACTGTTCACACAAACACCTGTGCATGAATGTTCACAAGAGCTTTATGTGCAATACCCCACACCTGGAAATAATTCAAATTGGTTAAATGGTTATTTAACCACTCAATGTGGGAGGAGTTAAATAAACCTGATGATACATCCATACAACTGACTACTACTCAACAATAAAAAGGAACAAACTTTTTTTTTATATAATTTATTGTCAAGTTAACTAACATACAGTGTATACAGTGCAAATTCCCATGATTCATCACTTACATACAACAGACAGTGCTCATCCCAACAAGTGCCCTCCTTAATGCCCATCACCCATTTACCTCCCCCTACCCCCACCTACCTCCCCCTTCAGCAACCCTCAGTTTGTTCTCTGTATTTAAGAGTCTCTTATGGTTTGCCTCCCTCTCAGTTTGAAACTATTTTTTCCCCTTCCCTTCCCCCATGGTCCTCTGTTAAGCTTCTCAAATTCCACATATGAATGATAACATATCTTATCTTTCTCTGACTGACTTATTTCACTTAGCATAATACCCTCCAGTTCCATCCATGCTATTGCAAATGGCAAGATTTCATTCTTTCTCATTGCCAGGTAGTATTCCATCATATATATAAAACCACATCTTCTTTACCCATTCATCAGTTGATGGATATTTGTGCTCTTTCCATAATTTGGCTATTGTTGATAGCACCGCTGTAAACATTGGGGTACATGTGCACCCCTATGAATCAGCACTCCTGTATATTTTGGATAAATTCCTAGCAGTGCTATTGCTAGGTCACAGGGTAATTCTATTTTTAATTTTTTTGAGGAACCTCCACACTGTTTTCCAGAGCAGCTACATCAGTTTGCATTCTCACCAACAGTGCAAGAAGGTTCCCGTTTCTCCACATCCGTGCCAACATCTGTTGTTTCCTGAGTTAATTTTAGCCACTTTGACCAGTGTGAGGTGGTATCTCAATGTAGTTTTTTTGTTGTTGTTTTTTCTAAATGTTTATTCATTCGGGGGCAGAGAGACAGGAAGACAGAATCTGAAGCAGGCTCCAGGCTCCCAGCTGTGAGCACAGAGTCTGACTTAGGGCTTGAACTCATGAACCGTGAGATCATGACCTGAGCGAAAGTCGGACACTTAACCAACTGAACCACCCAGGAGCCCCTCAATGTGGTTTTGATTTGTATTTCCATGATGATGAGTGATGTTAAGCATCTTTTCATGTGTCTGTTTGCCATCTGAATGTCTTCTATGGAAAAGTGTCTATTCATGTCTTCTGCCCATTTCTTCAATGGATTGTTTTTCGGGTGTTGAGTTTGTTAAGTTCTTTATAGATTTTGAATACTATCCCTTTATCCAATAGGTCATCTGCAAATATCTTCTCCCCTTCCGTCAGTTGCCTTTTAGTTTTGTTGACTGTTTCCTTTGCAGTGCAGAAGGTTTTTACCTTGATGAGGTCCCAATAGTTCATTTTTGCTTTTATTTCCCCCGCCTTCAGAAACGTCAAATAAGAAGTTGCTGCGGTTGAGGTCAAAGGGGTTGTTCCTGGTTTCTACTTCCAGGATTTTGATGGCTTCCCATCACATTTAGGTCTTTCATCCATTTTGAGTTTATTTTTGTGCATGGTGTAAGAAAGTGGTCCAGTTTCATTGTTCTGCATGTTGCTGTCCAGTTCTCCCAGCACCATTTGCTAAAGAGACTGTCTTTTTTCTATTGGATACTCTTTCCTGCTTTGTCAAAGATTAGTTGACCATACATTTGTGGGTCCAATTCTGGGTTCTCTATTCTATTCCATTGGTCTAGGTGTCTGTTTTTGTGCAAATACAACACTGTCTTGATGATTACAGATTTGTAGCAGAGGCTAAAGTCCGGGATTGTGATGCCTCTCGCTTTGGTTTTCTTTTTCAATATTACTTTGGCTATTTGGGGTCTTTTGTGGTTCCATACAAATTTTAGGGTTGTTCGTTCCAGCTCTGAGAAGAATGCTGGTGTAATTTTGATTGGGATTGCACTGAATGTGTAGACTGCTTTGGGTAGTATCAACATTTTTACAATATTTCTTCTTCCAATCCATGAGCATGGAATGTTTTTAAAAGGAACAAACTTTTTGTTGAAACTTGGATGGACTTCCAGGGCATTACACTTAGTGAAAAAAGCAAATCCCAGAAGGCCATATACTGTTTTATTCCATTTATACAACATTCTCAAAATGACAAAACTACAGAGATGGAAAACAGATTAGCAGTTTTCAGTGTACAGGGATGGGAGGGGAGGAGTCTGACTATAATGGGGTGGCAGAGGGAGTTCCTTCGTGGAGATGAAACAGTCCTGTAACCAACACCAGGAATCTATACATTGGATCAAACCACAGAGAACTATACACACATACACACAAATGAATGCACGTAAAAACTGGTAAAAACTAAATAAGATCTGTAATCTATTCAAAAATACTGTAATGTACAAAGGTCAATTTCCTGCTTTTAATATTGTACTACAATAATATAAGATGTCACCATTGGGAAAAGCTGGGAGGAGGGTTGACAGAACTCTATGTACAAGTTTTGCAACTTCCTTTTAGTCAATGAATTATTTCAAAATAAAAAGGTTTTTTTAAAGCCACCTGAAGAACAAGAAAGGGATAAAGTATACTAAATCAATATCAAAAATGTTTTGTTTCTTACCTTCAGACTCTTTAGATAATTTGAGAGCATACTGGGATGGAACCGATTTTCTTCAGCAACTTGACTATCATATCTTGGTCCTAACATTGTCTTCAGAGGTAAGAATCTTCCTAAACAACATTAAGATGGGTAACAATTTTCATTAAAGAAAATGTTCCAAGTTGAAACTATAATTAGCAATTCTCAAATCACTTTCTTAAAATGTTTTAAATAGAACTGTTCATGAAGTATTCTCAATCTAAACTACACCTTTTAAAAGTACCACCTTAGAATTTTTAAATAAATTCCAGAAATTGACAATCAAATATAATAGCAAAAGAATAATTACCAGTGAATGGAACTTCCAAAAAGACTCTTAAGTTTGGGGAACAGGGTGGGGTGCAGGGAGTATGGACAAAATAGGTGAAGGGGCTTAAGGAGTACAAACTTTCACTAATAAAATAAGTCACAGGGATGAAATGAACAGCATAGGAAATAGAGTCAATAATATCGTAACAACACTGTATGGTGACAGAAGGTAACGACACATCATGGTAAGCACTGGATAATGTACAGAATTGTCCAATTACTGTCGTACACCTGAAACTAATATAACATTCTATGTCAACTATAGCTGATTAATAAAATTTTTTAAAGTAAAAATAATAAAAAATTAAAAAGCATTGGGTAATAGTTTTTTTTAAAAAGACTAAGGTTTAGGGTTTTACGGAAAGTAGCTCTGTTGTTGTAATCGACTTCAGCCAGGTCACGCATCTCAAGGTCCGTGAAAGTTCGAGTCTCCGTTGTTGGGTTTCTGGCTGATGGGTTTGTTTCCGGGAGCCTGTTTCTGTGTCTCCTCTCTCTGCCCTCCCCCCGTTCACATGCTCTGACCTCTCTGTCCCAAAAATAAATAAACGTTGAAAAAAAAAAAAATTAAAAAAAAAAAAAGACTAAGGTTTTAAACTACTACATTAAAAAGTTACTGCCTTAAAGTTCTTAAAGATAATACAGGAAAATTGATAATGGAGTGAATTAAATCAGTTCTTTAAAATTCTTAATTTTACTTTTTTACTATGAACCTTCTCCATCTTATGCACTTTATCCTGCATTCCAGCATAGGGATCATGCTGACAAGCATATCAACCAAAATCACCTTTCAAACAACTATTATCAGTGATCATAATTTCAGCAAGACTAACTGACCTCTTTGACCTTTTTTTTCCTGAATCATAGTATAAGCATAAAAGTAGCCACCTCATATAATCAATTTTAAAATCAATTATTTTAACTGATTTATATCTTAAAACACAATATCCATAAGAATAAATATCTACCTAAAATAACCTCAATAAAATCTTAACATCTGTTCAGAGGTTTTAACCTAAATCTCATAAAAACATAATTTTTAAAATTTTTATTTTCTACAAAACTACTCAAGATCACCAATAACTTCTACACTGCAAAATCCAATTGTCAATTCTCAGTTCTCAAAGAACTGGTCACTGTTCAATTCAACACCACTTTTTAAATTCAATTTAATTTTTAATTCTTGAATCACGTTTTCACTTGGCTTTCAGGATACTACATATGTCTGGTTTTCCTCCTATATCTCTGGCCTCTACTTCTCAACCTCCTTTACTAGCTCCCCCTAACTCCCTGACCCCTCAATGTTTTGTCCCAGGGCTCTGTCCTCATACCTTTCTATCGACATTCACTCACCTGGTGTCTCATCTGGTCTCACAGCTTTAAAAGCCATCAACGTGCTGCTGACTTAACAATGTGTATCTCCAGTCCAAACCTCTCCCTGAACTCTAGGCTCAGATATCAAACTGCCTACCTGACTTAATCTCCACTTGATGTCAAAATATGTCTCAGACCTCATTTCCAAACCTGAGTTCTCAATATTCCAACTCCAAAAGCTGCTCCTCTCATGGTCTTCCCCATCTCAGCAAATGGTTAACATTATTTTTTTTAGTAGCTCAGGCCAAACCGTTTAGAGTTATCCTTGACCCCTCTCTTTTTCTCATACCCCATGTCCAATCCATCAGCAAATCCTCTCGGATCTATCTTCAAAATATATCCAGAATCTGATCACTTTTCACTTCTCACCACCTCTACCATCATCTCATCTAAATTCTTATACTTCATTTAGCTTATTTAACAAATAGTTAATAAGTACTTATTATGTACCAGGCATTGTTTTAGGTACATGGAATACATTAGTGAAAGAAAAAAAAAAAAAAAAAAAAAAAAAAAAAAAAAAAAAACAGATAAAAATCCCTGCCCTCACAGAGCTTGTATTCTATTGGGGAAAAAAATGAACTATAAACAAGAAACATAACAAATAAGGAAATAATATGATATGTTAGAAGATTCATCCCATTAGACCCTCTCTCCTCCTCACTGCTGTCTCAGAAGTCTGATCCTGTTTCCATCAGCTCCTCCAGGCTTCACTTCTTATCAACGTCAGAGTCCACAGCTGATCATCATAATCAGTCCCTTCTAAACACCCTTAACCTCCTTCCTCCTCCCGCATCACTCGACCACACTCACCTGAGAAAAACCCAGACCTCAACAAACTCAACCACCTGACTTCTTTGGCCCTACACCTGTGCAGCTCAGGGCTCCCAGAGAAAATCTCACAGCACAGCAGATAGCTGACACCATCAACCATAATCACCAATCTCAAAGGCAATCCTACCACACGCCACCACCTTCCGTGACAAATATTTCACATATTCCTCTTTCATAAAATATAGCAAGCTTCCCCATCCCCTTTTCAACTGACAGCTTTATGCTACACCTCAGTGAAAAGGTAAAAAGAAACAGAAATAATAATATAAGCTAACTTTGCATGCTCACCACATATCAAGCACCATTTAAAACATTTTACACAAATTCATTTACTCCTAACAAAAAAGTAAGTGCTGTTATTATCCCCATTTTACAAGTGAGAAAATCAAAGCAAGAGAGATTAACTTGCCCAAATGTCACACTTTATTCTAATAAGTGGGGAAAAAGAGGGATTCAAACTCAGGTGATACAGATGTCAACTATTCAACAATGCCTCTCCACCATCAGACAAAAACTTGTCTCACCTTTGCGGTTAATCTACAAACCTTTCTGTATCTCAATTCATCTTCTCTTTCATCTCCCATCCTTCCCCCATTAAAGGCAATCCCCTCCCCTCTGCTCTGGATTCCCTTCTGTGTTCCCTCCCCAAGGACCATGAATCAACTCTTCCTCCCCTCCATGTTGTTACCAACTTTTCCAGTATCTTAGCATCTCAGCAGCATCTCATATATTTGACAACTCCTTCCTTCTCAAAAAATTCTCTTGGCTTCCATGGCAATCCATGGTTGGATTACACCATCCCCAATTTCTGGCTACTCCTTCTCAATTCCTACATTCTCTCTTTTTTCCTCTACCAGACTTCAAAATTCTGGATTTCTGTGGATTCTGTCCTAGACCTTCTCCATTTTCTCTATTCTCTCTAGAAGGTCTTATCCACTGCCATGGCAGAAACAATGCTATCTGTTGACCAAATTTTTTATTTTCCTCTTCCAGGGCACATGGAAAGACTACATTTCTCAGCTTCTCTTGTCGTTAGGTTAGGTCCATGTGACTGGATTCTAGCCAGTGGGATATCAGCAGGGATTAAACATACTACCAAGGCTGGCCACAAAACCCCCCGAGAGATCACTCATTCCTGCTCTTCCCCTTCTATGACAACCTTAGAGGTCGCACATTTAAAAGGATGGCAGCACAAGATGTAAAGAGCCCAGAGGTTCACCACATGGAGAATTACCTACAAAAGCTAAGCTGACAGACAATGCATTGAGATATGAATGAGAAATAAACATGTTTTGATTGAAACCCCTGAATTTGGGAAGTTGTCTGCTAAAGAAACTAGCATTACTTATTCTGATTAATCAACTACCATGTCTTTAAATACTGTCTTTATTTGATGATTGTTAAATGTGTATCTCCAACTCAAACTTGTTTGAATTCCAAACTATATATCCAACTGTATACTCAACATCTCTTCCTGAGTAGTAATTCCCAGCACTCCAAATGCCTCTCTTTCAGGGGCAGCCTGGGTGGTTCAATGCTGGACCGCCTGACTGCCTCAGGCCTCCAAGATCTCACACAGGCTCAGAGGTGCCTCACAGCCTGCCTGGCTGGCTCAAAGGACAGCTCATGCCTGGAGTCAGCTTCTCTCTGTGTGTCTCCCCATCTTTCTGCCTTAACCCACCTCCCCAGATTCTGTCTCTGTCTCTCTCAAAAATAAATAAACATTTTAAAAATTCTTTTTTTCAAAAAGAATTATTCCTTCCAACCTATTCTCCCCTGCACTAATAAGCCCTAATGATACCTTCCATATCATCCACTGCATACAAGGCCAGGAACTTGAGGACTGGCTTTTAACTCCCTTTTTCCTCCGAGACATCCAAGTTCTTGTCCATTTTCCTCTCTCATATCTCTTCTCTCAATCAGTCAGCCTACTACTTCCTTCTAATCCCCTACTTTTAAACTATCATCACTACCACTTGACTATCACAACAATTTTGAACTAGTCTCCTCCTTTCATTTCCATTATTTTCATTTTTTACTTCTTTTCACTTCATTAAACATAGAGCAATCAAAGTAAATTTTTTTCCAGAACCCCACGACTCATCGGGGTTTAAAAAACTCCACGACCCGAGATCGGGAGAGTCACATTTCTAATGGATTGAGCTGCCACCAGCAGTGTCCCTTATTCAAAGTAAAGTTTTTGTTTGATGTTTTTTTTATTAGTTTATTTATTTATTTTGGAAAAAGAGAGTGTGATTGGGGGAGAGAGAGAGAGAGAGAGAGAGAGAGAGAATCCCAAGCTTGGCTCAAGTGCTGACAGGCCACAAGGAAGCTGCGCGCACTCCAAACCTGGAACCATGAGACGGCACCTGAAGGGAAGGAAATCAAGAAGCCGGGGACATTATCCAACTGAGCCACCCAGGCACCCCCAAAGCAAGCTTTTTAGGGCACCTGCCTGGCTCAGTCCACAGAGCACGTGACTCCTATCTTGGGGTTATGAGTTCAAGGCTCACATTGGCATGGAGCTTACTTGAAAAAAAAATCACCTCATTCCAGTGCTTTAAAAACTGCAATAGTTTGCCAGTATGTATGATCTGGCTCATACTCTCCAACCTCATATCTTCACTTTCAGTCTGAGATCTCTCCTATCATCATCCTATCCTAAAGCCTTTCCAAAAAAAAAAAAAAAAATACCCCACAATTATCCATCTAGCAAACTTCTATTTATTCAAGATAATTCATGAATCACCTCCTCCAGGAAGCCTTCCATAATCCCCTTCTTCTTCCTCATCACCTCTTCCCCAACCTCAAATAAAGAATTAGGCTTATCACCTCTGATATTCCATTATATTCTATAACAGTTGTGATCGTACTTGTTACAACATAACTATCTTAAAATGATTTTTCTATTCCCATGAGATTATGTACTCTTTAAGGTAAGGGACTATGTCTAAATCATCTCCCTAGCCCCAAGGACTAGCAGAAAGTAGCCTCTCAAATATTTGCTAAGTAACATGACTCCAAAGCCACCATCCCTATCACTAGACTGTTTCATATTACATTCCCACAGTTAGTTCCTGGTGGGTTCTTCACATAGGAAGTTCAAGTAAGTACCAAGTAATTTTTTTTAAGTTTTACTTATTTTAAGTAATCTCTATACCCAACATGAGGCTTGGACTCACAACCCCAAGATCAAGAGTCATGTGCTCTTCCAACTGAGACAGCCAGGCGCCCCAAGTACAAGATTATTTTATGTTGAATGATCTACCTATAAGAAATGAGAATTTTGCATTCTTCAAAGTGTTCACCTGAAATCTATCACTAACCAGGTGGAAAAAAAGGATTCTTCAGAAATAAAACTTGGCCCTATCTTCTGGAGCTCTCTCTCATTGGAAGTCTGGTTTAATTAAAGAAGGTGACTTCATAGTGAAACAGATTATATATAATTAGTACCAACTTCTAAATCAGGAAAATCATTAACATCTAACACCAATGAGATGCATCTAATGTCTACAGTGAGAAAATTTAAGCAGCCATAACACATCTTCCTAATATGCCAAAAACCAAAGAATTATCCAATAAGCATGGATTATTTTTATAATCAGAAAAAAAAATAAGAGGAAGAAAATATGAGGCAGAAAATGGAATGTGAATTATTCCTTATTTTTCACTGAAGACTACAAGAATATAGCTAGTATTTCTCGCTCTACCTGTTATAAAATATCGCTAACCTTGCATTTCCAAAATAAACACTTCTAGGATATACAGACAGAACTTTGAGGGAACTTTGGAGAAACTTACCAAGAATTGTACATTGTATTCACTTTACTTTCTAATAAGCATCACAAACCAAAGCAGCATTGATTACTATTAGTAAAGACCCAATTTGATTGTCAAGAGGCCTGGGGTTCTGTCCAAGGACAATTAATCAGATAGGTGAGCTTAGTATCTCACCAAGCCACAATAATTAAGAATCTAATTTTTGGAAGCCAAGATATTCCAACACAATAATAAAGAAAAGCTTTATTCCTGGCCCTTCGTTCCCAGTAGAGGGAGAAATAAAGGCACACAACTCTATTTCTCAAAGAGGCATAAAGCTGCCTGAGTTAGCGCCTTGCCTGCTGCTACTACCTCCAGTCAGTGTCACATTCCTTCCATTAATCTAACAGTAAGTCAGTATTCTGATCTCTGTCACTGCCAGCCTCCAGATTACATTAGAATTCTGGTATTAAACCGTTTTTCTAATTCCAAATTTTAAAAATCACTTTGGCAAGGACTTCTTTATGATTTTGTTTTTCTCACAAATCAGTGCAGGAGATAACTCTAACAAAAGAATCCAGGAAACATGCTCCAAACTAGAAAAGAAGCCAGGCATCTAAGTTTAGAGGTTTCTTCATAGCTCCACAGAGAAAACCACATGTAAAACAGAAAGAATTCACTACTAAGTTAGAGATGGTAATGGGAAAAAAGTCAAAACGACTGAAGATTTAAGACCTACGAAGAAAAATATAAAGAATTGTGATCAATTCATTTGAATAAGTACAATGATTATAAAATACAAACTGTTTTCATTTCAAGTGCAAATACACGTAAAAATGGTTAGAGCATAAAGAAAAAGGGGAACCTGGGTGGCTCAGTCAGTTAAGCGTCCGACTTCAGCTCAGGTCATGATCTCGTGGTTCTAAGTTCGAGCCCCACGTTGGGCTCTGTGCTGACAGCTGAGAGCGAGACCCTGCTTGGGATTCTGTGTCTCCCCCTCTGTCTGCCTCTCCCCTGCTCATGCTCTGTCTCTCTGAATCTCAATAAATAAACGCTAAAAAAAAATTTTTAAAAGAAAAACATTTCCTCATTCTAAGACTTGCTTAGGTGATCTTTCAATATCACTTGTCCACAGTGGATATGGCTTTACTGACAAGATTTTACATAAAATGTAAAGAAACGCTGACAAATTCAGGAGAACCTGAATAAAAAGTGACAACAGAATCTCTTCCAACAATGTTAAATAACTAGTCAGATATACTATACATATGTACATAATAAGCAATCATGGGGGCGCCTGGGTGGCTCAGTCGGTTAAACGTCCGACTTTGGTTCAGGTCATGATCTCACAGTTCATGGGTTCAAGCCCCACATCAGGCTCTGTGCTGACAGCTCAGAGCCTGGAGCCTGTTTCAGATTCTGTGTCTCCCTCTCTGCCCCTCCCCTGTTCATGCTCTGTCTCTGTCTCAAAAATAAATAAACGTAAAAGAAAAAAAAAAGCAATCATGGTTTACTACAAAACCTTTTAATTTTTGTTGCAAAATACCTTCTAGAATAAGCAGTAATAGTTAAAATTTAAATCTCTCACTCTTGCAAAAAAAATAATAAAATAAATAAAATAAAATAAAATAAAATAAATCTTTCACTCTTCAAAAGACATTGTTAAGAAAATGAAAAGGCAAGCCACAGATGGGAGGGAAAAAAATTTAAGCATACATCCAACAAAGGGCTTGTATTTACAGCTCAACAATAAGATAAAAACCCAATTAAAAAATCAGTACGAGATTTGGACATTTCACAAAAGATATGTGAATTGCCAAGAAACTCAACATCAAACCACAATATTACTAAATACCTACAGTCGGTAAAATTAAAAAGATTGGTCATACCAAGTGTTGGAGAGGATGTGGAGCAGAGACCTCTCATACATGGATGGTGGGAATGTATGTTATGACTTTGGAATGTTAAGACTTTGGCATCTTTTTAAAAGGTTAAACATACACCTACCATATGATCCATTCCTGTCCCAGAAATTTACACAGAGAAATGAAAGCCTATGTCCAGACAAATAACCATACAAGTTAATTTGTAATAGCCAAAAACTGGAAACAACCCAAATGACGGATCAGCAAGTGAATGGATAAACAAATGTGATATATCCATAACAATGAATACTCAGCAATAAGGGATGAACACATATACATACAAAAACACGGATAAATCTCAAAATAATGCTGAAAGAACCGAGACCTCCCCCTCAAAAAAGTGTACATATTATATGTTTCCATTTCTTTTTAAAAATTATAGAAAATACAAACTAATCTATAGTGACAGAAAGTATATAGGAAGTTGCCTGAGGAGGAAGGGATTACCAAGGGGCAAGGGGAAACTTTGAGAAGTGATGGTTATCTTCACTATCTCCATTGTGGTGATGGTTTCATGAGTGTTTCAGTGAAGTGTGTGCACGTGTGTGGTCAATATTTACCAAACTGCACTTTAAATTTAAGGCTTACTGTGCGTCAAACTCAATAAAGAGGCAAATTTTCACATTAAAAAAAAAAACAAACTCTAGTCTCACGGTCGATCCATTTCACCACTGGGAAACTTCCCCTCCTCTTCGGCCCTCCACCTCAAGACTGACACTTGTCCTTTCTCCTCCCGAGAACACTGGACAGTTCACAAACTTCTGACTAAGCTTCAAAGTAAGGCTCACTGTGTTCTTGGGTCCTCTGCTCCTGCCACACAAACCTCCGGTCTACCTTCCCGTTCGCAATAAAATAGTTAGCCTCACTGGTGAGTGACACTTGCCCCCACCCACCGACCCACCCCCCTCCAATCCATTTTCCCTAACACTCAACCACGAAGCTTCATCGGACAGAGCACATCTCGGTCCTGAAACACCACAAACAATCACAGAACCACCGAAAGCTGCGCCCCTCAGACGGCCCAACCATGGGTCAACCGGTAAGCAGGGATTCGAACACTCCCCCTCCCAGTCCGGGTTACCTGCCACAGGCTGGCCGCGCCGCGGACAGTTCAGCCACCGCGGCGGGATCTTGTTATGAGCCATGTCTCGGGGCCGTGCAGAGCCACCCCCTCCACCAACGTTCGCCGCGCCAACGCCACCGCCTCCTTGCGATCGGGTCTGCACTAGGTGTCCGAGGCACCCGGATCCCGGCCGGGGTCCAAATCCCAGCAGCTTCTACCCGGGAAACGTCAGCGGCGGCGCGCCACTTTCATTCAGGATCAACTCCACCGCTCTAAGCGAGCCCACAATGCAGCGCTACTTCCGCCCCCAAAGGCCCCACCCACTTCTTTCCGAGGTCAGAGGGGAAGACCGAGAAGTTCCGTAGAGGGACGGGAAAGAGTTAAAGCCTTGGCGAATGGAAGGGACGCGTCTGACGTCGCCCCGCCCCGCCGAGATTCCGGCGCGCTCTTTGGGCAGCTTTGCGCAAGCGCAGGTGGCATTGTGCAGGTCCCTGCAGAATGACACGTATTTTTTCCCACCTAGACAGCCTATACCTCCCCGAAAATGTAGGGAAGCCAAGCCTCTTTCACGCGTAGACTGATCCGCAGCTTCCCCAAAGGCATGTATTTTACTGGTAAAAGGGTCCTTCCCACCACTGTTACAGATCTAAAGCCTGATCGCCCTTTATTCTGCCAAGCTTGACGTCCTGGCGGGATCTGGGTTTGATCTGGAATTTGGGAAGTTCTCCCTGATGCGGTTCAGGGGAACAAGCCTTAGAGAAATTATAAGGGCGAGAAATTGGAATGCCAGAAAAGAAGAATTTGGGGAGGTGTACTTCTAAGGGTCCATGAAGTATCTAAAATTAATCCCAAAGCATTTTTCGAGAGTTTTGTTTACATTTCTGAAGAAAAGTTTCCGCGTATTTGGGAGTCCCTTCCATTCGATGGGGGCCATGTCTCAAAGTTACTACCTTGTGTATAATTGTCAAAGGCAGGAAGTGCCGGCCGGAATACCCACTAACTGGCGGTGTTCCTTGCCTTACCAAACAAACGGTCTCTTTCCCTTCGAGTTAAGCAGGGGTGATTGGAAGCATTTTATAAACTCGGTCCTGTAATAAGACCTGTAGTTACCAGAGTAAAGTATTAAACGTAAAGCTGGATAAGGGGAAATTAATTATAATGTAGCAGTTTGGTTTTAAACAATGCTATATTTGAACTGCAAGGTTGTGAGGTCGGGTGGGGGGTATATTTTAAAAAGTCAGTGGGAAATTTGGGAGGCAGCTCAGCCCCTGAATGCCTGGACTCTCTTAGTAAGATTCAGAATTCCCCCATAAAGAAAGAGGGGCCAATGGCTATCTCTCTGAGAGCCTGAGTTAGGTAACACTCCTGGTCTACCTTGAAACCCTGTAAGGGCCACCTTACAACTACTGACCTTTTTGTGAGTGTATCACACCTCTTCTGACAGGACAAGATAAGATCCAGTTTCCTTACATACCAGAAGTCGGCCTAAATAATGCCCAATTCTCTGCATACCATGCCCAGAGTGGTGAAGTGTTTGATCCTCCAAATCTCTACGGATGGAAAAGGTGAGCCTAATCTTGGGAGAATATCTCACTTTTCGGTTTATTCTGACATGTGTGTAAGGGTGCTCCTATCTGGCTTCCCAGAAGTTGGCAAAATGTCAACGAGTGATAGTCGTTGTTTTGTGTGTTCTTGGTTTTTGGTTTTTGGTTTTG